GTGAAACAAGCTCATCACAGTTTCCTGAAGCCCAAACTGACATTATATTCAATGCCTTGTCTGGCCAGCAGTCCAAAATCCACAGTTACTCAGTTTACTAGTATCAGATAAGACAGAAAGAAATCAAACACGTTTAATCAATAAATCAATAAAAACATAAAAACAAAGATAACAGGTGACAGAATAGTATTCAATAGTGTCCTAATAACTCACTATTGTATTTTTTCTAAGAATCATTGAGTAATACCTCCGGCATTTAGCTGACAGGGTGAAGATGTGTTTACAGAATGAATAATGAATGCCTGTCGTTCTCAGTTATCCTCAAATTTGCTGAAAGCAAATGTCCACTAACTTCTCAAAAGTTGGTTATTGGTCAGGAATCTTCAAATAATCATTCAGTCTAAAAATGTTCCTAAGAGGAAAAAGAAACAGTCACAAACTGAGTCACTGACAGGAAGCCCAGCCATCTGTATTATCACTGCTGCTGCAGACAGGGGCAGCCGTAGAAAGACGCCAAAGTTCCATGAAAAATAAATGTGCAAATACATAGAAAAAACATAATTAACTAATCCCATTACTTCTGGTCTAGGTCACATAGAGCTTTTTTCTTAGTATCTTACTTTACTACCCCCTTCCAAGAATGAAGGAGAAACTATGGTGTCGTGCAAAAAGCAAAAAATGTTACACACTGGACCTTTAACATTTTTAAATAATTAACCCTATTGACTGGCTCAGAATACAGTAGACAGAGCAGGCTATATTACAAACAATCCTTCAGAGCAGATCAGGTAGTCACTGGAGTGTTTTTAAATCTCCACAAATAATATACGTCGACTGATGACAACAAATACCATCAGCCACTGTTTCCTTTTCTGCCTTCTGCCCACAGATTACTCACCTTTTCAGAGAAAATAAAATGACTGAGATTCTGTTGTAATTTTACAATCAAAAACAATTACATTACTCAGATTTAGTCACAAGAACTAAATGTGTCTCTTCTAACGCACCATTTCAATTACAATAATATATATTCTGCAGAACGGCTACCAAGTCCACCAGCTGGTTGATGCTAAACTTTTGGCTGTGCCCGTTTCATCTGACATTCCTACACAGCAGTCGACGTCGCAGATTAGATCATATTCCATCAACCAAGCTGGAGTGTACGGTTAACAGTAGACGTATCTCCTGAATTTAGTTCATTTACTGGACAGTGCAGCCTGTTGACAAACTGTTCTTTTTTGTGGGATAGAAGACAAGCTAGCGCTCAGACTGAATTAGGTCCAAGTTCCCTCCCTCCGTCCCTCCCAGTCTGAAGTCAATCAGACCACAGCTACTTCTACCCTACTCACCATTTGACCATTTTCTATGCTATGAACAATTAAAACCCTCCTCATTTACACGTTTTTCTCTGGTTGCTCTTCCTGCAGTGCTACTCCTCGTGTTGCCCTCTAGCTTTGGATTGAACTTTACAAAGGCACGATTTTAAATCAGCTCCCGCTCACTACACATCCTGTATTTTTTTTATTATCCTACAACAGTGTAGTTCTGTTAAACACGTGCAGGACACAAGGCATGGGTTAAGACCTAATGTCACGGTTTAGAGGATGAGCTGAAGATGCTTTAGCTTCGGGGATGAAGGAAACAGACAAACCATAACTGTAGTTAACTTGGTGGCGGGAAGAGAATTAAAACCAAGTTGACTGCAAGCAGACAACAGCAAAGCAGTGAGGCATGACTGGGTTCATGATATAAACGGCATAAATGGTCAGCAAATACATTTTTACATGTACCACAGTGCTGGAGATCAGCTTTACAACATGATGTGGGGCATAACTGAAATAGATTGTGTGATATTTATTGCTTTGTTTTACCCTAACATTACCCAGCCCTTTGGCAGACCAATCAAATTCCTTTGCATGTAAAAACTGCACTGTGGAAAGTCAGCTCCCTAGCATTGCTGTGCAGCACCAGGGTCATGCCAAATTGTTTGTCCATGTCAGAATGGGGTTCCCCGAGCACACACACAGTTATCATTGTCCATACAGTGTGTTGTTTTTGAGCATGTATGAGTAGCCTGTGTGTTTTTTTCTTTTCTTTGCCAAAACATCCCGTCGAACTTGGGTTAAAGAATCCAACAACTTCCAATGGGAAGGACAGTCTGCTGACACAAACACTGACACCACAGAGGCTCTAAGTAGGCTGATTAAGACATGTGATTTGTTTCCACTCCGATCAAGAGACACCGGATAAAAACAGTTTGCTGGCACCGGGGTTCAAATGTGACATCGTAAATATCCACCTGGATAAAAAAAAAACAAGGTTAGTCGGGAAAGCCTGCCAGCCCGGTCCCGGTGCCAGCCCGGTCCCGGAGCCAGCCCAGCGACAGACCAATGCACGCATTCCGCCCGGTCCGGGCTAAAAATAGGCACCAAACTGGGTGACACACATCTTGCTAGGCTAATGTATCACTGCGACTCAGCACAGGTTCGATAACACGTCTTGGGGGATGGGAAGGAAGAGCTTTAAGGGAGAGATTAAGTCACGTAAAAACGGCAGTAACAAATACTGGGCTTCGGCATTTCGGTCCGACTTGAAATAAAATAAAATAAAAACGCCAGTGAAGGCTGGCTAACAGCAAGTTAGCCAGATTAGCTTCCTGGCTGACGTGCTGGCAGTGACACTCGGCAGCGGAGTAACGGCATGTCAAACCCACGAGTCTTTCCGAGTTCAATTGTTGGCCACTTTCAGAACAGACTTGCAAAGGTTTTCAAGAAAAGGTTAATTTAGACCTCTAACAAGAATTTGCAACACAAGAGCTACCCAGTTTAGCCTCCCCCTTATCGCTCCCTCCCGCTGTGTCTCCGCCTCTCGGCCACTCTAGTCCGGGGATCGAGATGTAAACAAGGCCCTCTGGAGCTCGGGAGTAAACAGGCACATTTAAACAACTGCTGCATTCATTTCCACTGGTTAAAGTCGGTGGTATTTACCTCTCAGGGCAGCGTTGGCTCTGCCCGCGTTGACAGCCAGAAGTGGGTTTTGTGTGGGGAAACCCAGAGAGCGATTTACACTGTGTTCGCCTGCCTGCTAAACGGAAGATAGAGGTACTTATCTATGACGTCACGTCCGCGTTTCTCACGCCAGCTCTCTCCCCCCTCTCTCTCCCTC